GCCTCGCTCACTCCTATTGGCTGTCTTAATCCGTCTTCCGGTGTGGGCGGGCCTGCGCTGTGGCGGGAAAGCGGCGCCGGCGTCTCCGGGTTCTGGAAGCCGAGCTGCCTGAGGAAGCGAGTGCCGGGCGGCCGCTGGCATGGACGCTGCGGAAGTGGAGTTTCTGGCCGAGAAGGAGCTGGTGACCATCATCCCCAACTTCAGCCTGGACAAGATCTATCTCATCGGGGTGAGGCCTCGGGCGCGGGGCGGCGGGGCGGGCGGCGGGCCCCGTGCTGCGGCGCGCGCTCACGGCCTTTGCCTGCAGGGGGACCTGGGCCCGTTCAGCCCCGGCCTGCCGGTGGCCGTGCCCCTGTGGCTGGCGGTGAACCTGAAGCAGAGGCAGAAGTGCCGGCTGCTGCCCGCCGAGTGGATGGACGTAGGTAAGGCCGGGCGGAGGGGTGCACGCCCTGGAGGGCCGCCTCGGGCTGCCGCGGGGGGCGGCCTTCCTGAGGGAACCGACGTGGGTGAGGGTGACGGTCGCCGCCCCGTGGGTGTGGCGCCGCCGGAGGACTCAGGTGCCCGGGCGCCAGGCAGAGACCACTCCTCCTTTGGGGGCGCGGGGGGGCCACCCAGCGCGCCCCGGCCCTGTTTTGTGTTTGGAGACGGGGTCGCGCCGAGCCGCTCACGCCTCGCTGTTGCGGAGGCTGGCTCGGAGGTCGCCGTCCTCCTGCCTCAGCCTCCCCAGCCGAGCTGCGGGGACACCGGGTGGCCCATGGCTAGAGACCCCTGTGGTGGGCTCCACCTATGTGACCCGTGCTGCCCGCCTGGGTTTGGGAGGTGATGGGATTCCTTTTGGGGATTATGAAAAAGTTCCCAACTGGACTGAAGTAGCGGTGGCCTGGCTCCGGAGATGCTAAACCCACTGCTTTACACAGCGAATCGCGTGGTGGGTTGATTATGCCTCGATAAAGATGTGAGAAAGAGCCAAGAGGCCACCGCCTTGGGGTGCACACCTGTAATCCCAGTACCTTGGGAGGCTGAGGCAGGAGGATCCCAAGTTCAAAGCCAGCCTCGGCAACCAGCTGAGACCCTGTCTCAAGGCTGGGGATGGGGCTCAGTGGTTAAGCACCCTGGATTCCATCCCCAGTGCCAAAAAGAAACCAAAGAGCCCGGTGTGTCTGTAATTCCAGTCAGGAGGCTGAGGCAGGAAGRTCACAAGTTCAAGGCCATCAGGGCAATTTAGCAAGACCATGTCCCAACGGAATAAAAAGGGCTGGGCTGTAGCTCAGTATACAGCACTTGCTTGACATGGCCAAGGCCCCGGGCTCCATCTTGGTGCTCCAAACAGAAGTGAGGGCACATCACGTTTGCAGGCAGTCCTGAGCACTCATGATCTCGCTCTATCAGATGTGAGCAGCTGCGTCAAGTAGAAAATCACCCTCACTGTTTTTGCTGGGGAGGGGTGTGGCATGCATGTTTCTACAGTGAAGAGCCCTGAGTGATTCTGACTCTCCCCTCCCCCTGGGGTACCTGGCGTACCTGCCTCCTGCAGGCAAGGACGCCTTCAGCCAGCCACATCACTTACTTTAGGGAAGACTGCTGCTTGGGGGGGTCCCCCTTGCTCCTTGTCTAAAGGGGCGGGTGGCTSTGGCAGTGGGGATCCCTAGTCCCTCTACTCTGAGGGCCTCTGGTGGGAGCCCCTGCAGGCCTGACTCCAGTAGGGACCTGTCTAGGCTCCTAGTTCACCATCAGCCTCTGGGGGCTTGGACCTGTTGTGACCCAAGGTGCAGGACCACAGTGAAGGTGTGGAGAGAGCGTCTGAGCTTTCACASAGCAGGCTGCACTGTGGTGAGAAGCTGTATCTCCAGCCAGTCAGCCCCTCTGAGAGCCGCGGCCTGGCTGTGCTAGGGATTCTCCTGCTTGTTCTGGGGTCTCTCATATATGGAATCCTCCAGGATCTCATCTTGTCTCTGGCTTCTTGTATTCCTGGGTGTTTCTGTGGCTCACCTCTGTCGCTGCCTGCGTTGTGCCTCAGTTTCATTCTTGAGTGTCGCTCCTGGTCTGGGCAGGCTGGGTGCTCATCTATTCTACTGGTGGGTGTTTGAGTGGTTTCTTGGCTTTATTCTGAATAAAGCTGCTATGAATGTTCTTGTCCAAGTCTTCTTGTGATTATATGTTTTTATTTTTCTCGGGCAAATAAATGCTTGGGAGTGGTAGACTTGCTGGGTCATAGTACGGATGAGGCTTGAGTTTGTAAGAAACAGCCAGCTGTTCTCTGAAGTGCTTGAGCCATTATTCCTTCCAGGAATGTTCCTATTTTTCCATGCCCTAGCCAGAAGTTTGGTATTGTCTGTCTTTTTGATTTGTTGGAGAGTTTGAGCAGAGAGATCTCATAATCTGTTTCTTTTTTTTGGTGGTGCTGGGGATCGAGCCCAGAGTGTTGTTCATGTGAGGCAAGCACTCTGCCAACTGAGCTATGTCCTCAGCCCCTCATAATCTGATTCAGATGGAAAAGAAAAAGAAGGGAAAAAAACAGCCTTGCATGCATGAGGCCTGGGATTTGATCCCTAGGTATGGGGGGAAAGTGAAAAATAACCACTCCACTGTGTGAGCTGGGAGTAGGGGATGATCCCTGCCAGGGCCAATGGGGGAGGGGCTATGGTTGGTGTGTTCTGAGGGAATAAGCCACAGGATTTGGTGAAGGACTGACTGTTGGGATGAGAGAGCCCCCAGGCTGTGGGCTGGGTTGGAGGAGAAGGTGGAGTTTCCTGAGGTGGGGAGCACGTTTGAGAGGTCTGTGGGCACCAGGAACTGAGGTTTGAACTGGTTATATTGGAGATGTATGTAGATGCCCAGGTGGAAGTTAAATGGCACAGATGGTATCGAATGGGGGCATGTGAGTTTAGGAGGTGGAGTGGAGTTAGGAACTGAGCTTTGTACCCTAGTGTTGAGGGGTCAAGAGGAATAGGCAACAGAGGTGAGGACTGGCTAGTGAGGCCAAAAGCTCAGGGAGAGTGGTGTCCAGAAGCTACATGGTCAACACTAGAGGAGGACGACTGACCGATCAGGTGCAGACACTGAGAAGTAGCGTTGGGTTTGGCTGAGTGGAGGTGGAGGCCTTGGGGAGTTGCACTGGTAGAGGGGCAAGAAGTGAACGGGGGAATACTAAAGAGAGGGGCAGACGGCTGGAAGCTTGGTGCTAAAATGAATTGATAGATGGAGAAGGATTTGGGTCAGGGGAGGTTTTCTCTGTGACTTGATCATTTGGGATGATCAAGCAGGGAGGGAGAAGACAATCCTCGAGAACAGCGTACAGAGAGTTCTTACGCAGTGAGAGGACCAGGGTACACCTGGAAGGCTAGCCCTGCAGAGAGGACACAGCAGGGAGGCTGGGGAGTGGGGTACAGGCCTAGTTGGCAAGGTGTCCAGTGAGAGTTACAAGGAGCTGGCTGTAAGGAGAGAGGGCAAGTGCACCAGGACCCCCAAAGGATAGGGATGTGTAAGCTTCTTAGCCTTGTCCCTGCAGCCAGGACTGGGCTTCTCAGGCCCGTAGGAAAGGGAAGGCCAAGGGAGTAGTGGAAATGTCTGAGGGTAGTGCTAATGCTGGGTGAGATCAAGCATGGTGGTGGGTTCTAGATGCTGGGCTTTAAGCCCCTGTTGGACATTGTGCCCTCTGCCTTATTGGGTACCTTTAAGCCTCTCTAGCATATCATAACCCCTTGCTCCAGGCTGGAGTGCCTTTAAGCCCCCTAGAATATCATACTGTCAGCAAAATTTATAAGTTGTAGTTTATATCATACTGTAGTTTACAAGTTGCTTGCTCTCTTATGAACCAGACTTGGTATACATAGATCTCTTAAATCTCTGATCACTTATTACATCAAAGGTAAGATAGTTCTTTCCCTATAAAAAGAACTTCCAGTTTGGACATATTCTTTAAGCCAAAAGGATGACAACAAAAACCTTCCTGAGAGAATTTCTTCCAAGGAGAAGGCCTTGATACAAATATCATTCCAGAAAGTTTTCCTTAGGAATTTGCTACTTGATCAAATAGGTAGTAATGTCAGTACTTGGGAAGTTTGGAAATTGAAATGAACCTTGGCTATAGTGACGGTGACATGTGTTGACATCTACATTTCAGAAAAGTTGGAGAAGATGAGGGATCATGAGCGAAAAGAGGAAACTTTTACCCCTGTGCCTAGCCCTTACTACATGGAACTCACCAAACTCCTGCTCAATCAGTGAGTAGCTCTCCCTGTGACAGCCCCTGCCTGGGTGGACCCCTTGTTCTTCCTCTAGCCCCACTCTCCCTTTCTTTTATTATCACAGAAAGCACTGGGTTGGTAATCCGGAGGACATCTCTGTGTAGGATTGTGGGGTCTCTGTCTCTCATTTTCCCTTTTTCCCCACCCCCAGGAAATCTCTTGGGCCTTTCATTCTACCTCCTGTTGCTTGACATTGGACCCCACTGTGAGCCACTGTCATCTCCAGCAGAAGCCTTTTTCTGAACTACATGTAGTTTACTTAGTGCAGTGATACCCCTCTTTATTCTGTCTGTGGAGTATGCGGATCCAGGTTCTTTGTGATTTTCACAGGAGAGGCCAGAGGGCTCACATCTGACTTTGTCCTAAGCTACAGGAAACCACTCATGGTAAAAATATGCTTTATTGCCTACATCCACACGAGCTCCCTGGGGACTTCTAATTTGTTCATGTGGCAGACAAAGTGATCTTTTAAAGATAAAACTGCCATGTGACTCTTCTTTCCAAAATCCTTGATGCCTTCCAATGGGAGGGAAACCTTGGTGCTTTTCCAGAGTTTTATTGTATTTCTGTTTTGTTTTGTGGTGCTGGGGTTGAACCCATGGCGCTCTATACTGAGCTACATCCCCACTCTTTATTTTGAAACAGGGTCTTGCTAASTTGCCTAAACTGGTTTCAGATTTGCAATCCTTTTGCCTCAGCCTCCCAAGTAACTGGGGTTACAGGCATGTGCCACCATACCCAGCTTTCCAGGGTTTCAGTCCAGAGCCCTGACTGCAGCATTTAAAGCAGTGCACGGCCTGGTGTGGGCTTCTCCTTCCCTCCTTCACAGCTGTTTGCGGTTCTTTCCTCTGCCACTGTAAGTTTTTGGTTCACGTTGGTCTCTTCTGCAGTACTTTTATTTATTTTTTTGAGACGGGGTCTTACTATGTTGCCCTGAACTCCTGTTCTCAAGCGATCCTCTCGCTTGGCCTCTTCTAACACACTGGGTCCTCGTGACTTTGCGTACACTGACCAGGAAGCCTGTCCATTCCCTTGCCCATGTGGCCTGTGGTTCAGTACAATAAGTGTCCCTGCCAGATTAAGTGTGCCTGCTCTCTTGGCAGTTCTGCACTCTGCCAGTGTTGGCCGTAGCTGCAGTTTTCTAATCATTTGCCTGTGCCATTACATTCCCACCCCCATATACCTGTTCTAAATGGCCAGGCACTGACTTGAATGCTGTGTCCCCAGCATGGTGCCTCGTGTGCATGTTTGTCGAATGAGTGAAATCAGCAAAGGGAAGGCAAGTGTGGGTGGTTTTTCCTGGGAGCATAACGTGCAGAAGGTCAAGCTCTTGAAGCTCCTTACTAAGCATGTTTTGGTTGATGAATTCAAGTGCTGAAGTAGAACTACAAACTGGTCTGTGCTACCACCACTACTGACTGCCTGCTGAACTTGTTTGTTTTTTAAAATTTATTCTAATTTGTTATATATGAAAGCAGAATGCATTTCCATTCATAGTACACGTGTAGAACACAATTTTTCATGTCTCTGGTTGTACACAAAGTAGAGTTACACCACTTGTATCTTCATACAGGTACTTGGGGTAATGATGTCCATCTCATTCCATCGTCTTTCCTACCCCGTACTCCATCCCTTCCCCTCCCTCCCCTTTGCCCTATCTAAAGTTCCTCCATTCCTCTCATGCTCCCCAACCCCATTCCTATTATGGATCAACATCTTCATATCAGAGAAAACATTTGGCATTTGTTGTTTTGGGATTGATTTACTTCACTTAGCATAGTATTCTCCAATTCCATCCATTTACCTTGCATATGCTATGATTTTATTCTCTTTTAATGCTGAGTAATATTCCTCTGTGTGTGTATGCATGTGTGTATGTGTGTGTGTGTGTGTGTGCGCACACACACATACACACACACCATAATTTCTTTATCCATTCATCTACTGAAGGGCACTGTCTGCTGAATTTAAAGGAGAACTTTGGGCATCTAACAGAGACTTGTCCTTAGGTCGATGCCATTCCTTGGGTAGATTCTGAGGAATAGCAAGCTGCCAGGCGTTGCACTAGGCTTGGAGATGGTTATGTGGGCCTCTTCCTGGTTTGGTGGGGGAGGTGTGTGAACCCGTGAACCACCAGTTAAATCACAGCATGGTCAATGCTGTATGAGGTCTCAGAGAAGCCTCTGGGAAGCTCAGGCTCCAGGAAGGGAACTTCCTAGGGCTGGTGGAGGGAGAGGTCCTGAGGCAGGAGCTGTGAAAGGCAGCATGAAGGGGCCTCAGGGAGCAGAGGCATCTGTGTGGAGTGTGAATGTGAACAGCGTGGGGGATGGAAGCAGGATTCTGTGTTGATGGAGAACTCCTGGGGGGGCCGTCCTGGGGGGGAGGTTTCACGAGAGACTGGCTTGGGGGTGGGAGCAATGGCTGGAAGGAGAGAATATACTAGGTATGAGTGAGTATTGTCCAGGTGAAGGGCTTATTCATTTTTTTTTAAATTGTAGATGGACCCAATACCTGTATTTTATTTATTTATGTGCAGTGCTGAGGATTGAACCCAGTGCCTCACTAAGCTCTATGTGCTAGGGAAGCTCCCTACCACTGAGCCACAACACAGCCCCCATTTTTAGTTTTTGAAGTTCCTTATATTGTATGTGTTTTCATCAAAAACCTTATTCTGTAATTCATTTGGCTAAGGGACTGAATTTTACCTTTGTTCTGCAGTTCAGTTGACAAGAACCTAGGGTCCTTTGTTATTTAACCTGCTGTTCAGAGCATAAGATCTGAATGTTTGGGCTCATAAATAAAATTTCACAGCATAGATTTCATACTGTGGATCTGCCGCCCACCAGTGCTGAGCTAACTGTATCATGTAGACACTCTAGCTTATCCTAGAGTGCCTAGTGACGGGCAATATTTGCTTCACCTTTTATTTTCTGGTCTGTCTTTGAAGATTGGTCTAGAGAATGTTCTACAAAGGAAAACTGTTATTGCCTTCGCTGGATTGACTTCTACCCAGTCTCACTGCATGTGGTTACAGTACAACGCTTACGCTAATTTGCCACTTAAGTGATTTTTGTAACTTCTGATTTAACTACAGAGTAGGACAGTCCCTCCTCTGCGGGGCTTTCATGAGGACAGGAGTGCTGTGCAAGGTGCTGAACACAGAGCTAGTGGTTTCCTTCCCTGATTGGTAGTGAGCCTGGATTACTGGGGGGGAGTAGTGATCTGCTCACCACTATACATAAGGAGCCCTTGGAACCAATTCTAGCTGGAAGTTACGCGGCACAAAGCACTGTTGTCCTGTGGCATAGACTGTCTGATTTGGAGCCAGTTAATCCTGGTAACCGCTGTCCAAGGACACTTGGCTGAGGCAGGAGGATGGCAGGTTCAAGGCCAGCCTCAGCAACTTATTGAGAGCTTTTCAAAACCGGTGGAGTTGTATGTAGTTCAGTGGTAAAGCACACCTGGGTTCAATCATCTATACAAAATACAAACAAGGGGCAGCGTTGTGGCTCAGTGGTGGAGCCCTTGGCTAGCATATATGAGGCCCTAGGTTCGATCCTCAGCACTACATAAAAATAAATAAATAAAATGAAGGTATTGTGTCCAACTACAACTAAAAAATAAATATTAAAGAGAACCAGTTCGGTAGCTGAATGTCCTTGGTACCATACTTACTCGTTGAAGTCCTTACATGTTAATAATGGAGATGAAACAAAACAGATTTTCTACATCAGGAATAGTTGGAATACTTTCCTGAATCTAAGCCGTGTTTCAGGTTGCCGTTGTGGGGTTTTGTTTTGGTCAGGCAGGTGCTTACTAACTTCATCCCTTGCCTCCTTTAGTGCTTCAGAGGATATCCCCAAAGCAGATGCGATCCGCACCCTGATCAAGGATCTGTGGGACACGCGCATAGCCAAGCTCCGGGTGTCTGCTGATAGCTTTGTACGGCAGCAGGAGGCACATGCCAAGGTAGGTCCTGCTCCCTTTTGCTGTCTTCCCCTTGGAGCTGGTGGGCTCTGCCCCAGAGTTTTTTTATGCCCCTGGAGAAGCTCAACCCAGTGTCCTACTTGCTCAGGCTGTTGCAAGATAGGAGATTACTAGCCATGCTGGGGGTGCTCAGTGGTAGGGCACTTGCCTGTTCCGCCCTGGTATCTAAATGAAGCTACTAGAGAATCTCTTCACCACATACAATTGGCTGATGCCCTGGGTGTGATTTTCAGCACCACAAAAACCAAACAAAAAAACCCCCATTGGTTTGTTCTTAGTATTTTAGCTTTTATTCAAAATCAAAACTCCTTGGCCAACTGGGTCTGTTTTCTCTTGTTGCAGCTGGATAACTTGACTTTGATGGAGATCAATACCAGCGGGGCCTTTCTCACTCAAGCACTCCATCATATGCACAAGCTCCGTACAAACCTCCTGCCTTCTGAGAGTGCCCCATCTCAGGACTTTTAGAGGAAGGCCTGTGGTTGGCAAGGTCTAGCCTGTCTGGCAGCAAACTGCTGGGTGGAGGCTGGTGACATGATGGAGGTACTTGTGTATCTGGAGTTCTGGAAACATTTTTAAATGTCTGAACAATGCTTGAACAGGTGCCGGGACTGGATCTGTAACATTGGTGAGAAGCAAATTTGTGATTAGTTCTCAAAACTGAACACCCCTGAGCTGGGCATGGCGGTGCATGTCTGCGATTCCAGCAATTTGGGAGGCTGAGGCAGGCAAATTGTAAATTCCAGGCCAGCCTCATCAATTTAATGAGGCACTGAGCAATTTGGTGAGACCCTGTCTCAAAATCAAAAATAAAAAGGACTGTAGCTCAGTGGTAAAGCACCTTTGGGTTCAATCCCCAGTACCAAAAACAAAACTTGCCTGAACATTCAGTCAATCCCCAACTAGTTTTAGAAACCAGTTTTTCTTTTGAGGGGAAAAGAAAAAAGTATTAGGCAACCAAGTCCTCCCTGTTGCCAGAGCCTTGGATTTTCTGCATGAAACTGTCACCCGTGGTTGTGTTCAGTGACTGTGTAGATGAGGCTGGGGGCGTTTTCCCTCTTGATCCCCATTTCTTGAACTAAATTTAGATCTCCTAGAGGTTGTTCACGGAGGACGATGGTGTGGGTGACTGGAAACGCTGGCCAGTGTTTGTCTTCTAAGCTACAAATTATAATAAAAACACCGTCAGCCAGAATCTGACTTTGCTGGGTTCTTGTCCTGTGGCCGAGATGATCTGATACTGATAGGTGTGAGGCAGTTGACTGGAAACTTCAGACCAGCGTTCTGGACGATTGGGGAAAAACCTGTCCCAATGCATTAAGTGAGGCTGAAGACTGCTGGGAGGGAAAGGAGCTCTCCTGCTGCTCTTGATGGGTCAGGGAGAGGGCCCTTGGTTGAAGACAGCAGTGGCTCAGGAGATTGATTATCCTCTTCCTAAGAGAAAACCACTTCAGTTTTTGAACTGCAGCATTTTGGAATTGTTGGGCCCCTTAACAGAAATTTCCTTACCTTGGAAGGGAATACCGTTCGTTATCCTGCACCATATAGTAAGTATGTTCAGTCACCCAGCTGGTTTTGACTTGGCGCCCAGGGAGCCCACAATTGGCCCTAGTGTACTGCTCGGCACCTGCCCTTCTGGGTTTGTTCCTTGAGCACTGCTGCTCTGGTCCAGAGCTGAGATGGCTCCTGAGCAGATGCTGGCTATCATGTGAGCACTGGGCCAGACAGACCCGGAGGGCTAGGGCAGAAGATGGCAAATCTGATTAAAGGTGCTGTTCAGACATTCAATTTCTCCTTTAGAGGTCATCAGGGAACCTTAGAATGAAACCACTTGTTACTGCGGAGCTCAGGGGCATGTGCGCYTCCATCTCACACCTACCACCCTGCTTGAAAACCCCAGCCAACTGAGGTGCAGCTGAGGATCTTCAGGTCTGACCTGTGAAACTATGTGGAGTTGGTAGTTGCCCCCCACCCTGGGGTTGGGGGTTGTCTTATAAAAGATTTTTCTCTTGACATGATTTAGGAAGATTTTATTTTTTGGATGTTGTCAGAAATTACAGCAATATATTCATAAATACCTAATTACTACATTCAACAAATAATATTACAATACAGTTAATTCAAACAAGTACACTTAGAACAGGTTTAGTTTCACAGCATCTAAACTGCCCCCAGGGTGACCGAGGCACTGTTGTCCTCCCTCCTGCCCGAATCTGGGTTTGCTGTCCTAGCAGTGAAGCACAGGGCACATACAAGTGACAACCAGCGAGCATGTCTTCCTCAGGTCAAGGCAGAGTCTAGCAATCAAGCGCTGGATCAAAAAGCTGGGGACAGGCTACTGCAAGTAGTAACCTGAAGTCAAAGCATGGTTAACAGGCAGAGTTGAGATCCTAGTCAGGGGGCTAATGCATTGTAGGAAAGGAACAGAATCTGCTAAACATCTCCATCTCCTGGTGGATCTTGGGAATTGTCTACACTTTACGTGGCTCAGAGGGAAGGGGCAGATCTGGTCTGGTCTGAAATTTAGCTTACTTTTTAAAATTTGGCAGTATTGTGAGCTACTTTGAGGGGAAAATTCTGTTACAAACTTAACATTTCTTGTTTCATTTCCTTGCTGCTAAAGGTGTTGGCTCCTTTTGATACTCAGTATCCTTAGGAGTACAAGCTAGGATGATGACAGTACCAATTAAGATTAGAACTGAAGATGTGGAATCCTGTCTTTGTGGTCATGTTATCTGAGAGGAATGGATTGGGGGCTGTTTTGTTAGTCTGGCTCTGATTATATGAAACAACTCATTTTAAATATCTGGTTAAAGGTGGAACTACATGACCTAGCATCAGAGGGTGTCCCTTGCGTTTAGTGAATTCCCCATCAGGACAGATGGCGGCTGTCTCTTCCAGGTGATATGGCAGACACGGAACTGAGGAGGACTGAGGTATTCACATAAATACTGACACACAGGTTGTTACATCATCAGTTCTAGAGCAGATCTGATGTACTGCTCAACTTTTTTAAAAACATGAAGAGGGCTAAATAGAAAACCCTTCAGTTTGCATGTTCTTGTTAGCCCAGGTGAGGACAGACATGTGGGAATCATCTGACAACGGGTGTTTTCAGAGCAGAGGGCCAAGTGCGGGGTGGGAGGACCACCGCGGCCTGGGTGGTGTGCCGTCCTTTGTGAGCTGCTTTCTTACCTTGCCTTTGTCTGTGCATACTGCCTGGTTTGTACCTGGATCGTGATTGTCACATTACTTCTCGAGCACAAGAATCTTCAGAGGTCTCCACGAGTGGGAGAACAGGGAGGCAGAGCACGAGAGCAGGTGGKCCAGGACGGGCTTCCATATTGCTAGCTCAGCACCTTGGCTCGCACCAACAGAGCTCTGCTCAGGTATCTATCCTCTGCTCTACCTGCCATGTACTGCCCCCCAGTGTCCAACCTAGGGAGCACCTCTCAGGTGCAGGGTGGGGCTGTGCATTTCCATTAATTAGAACTACTTTTCCCTTTTACTTTAGTCAATGCCATTACCAAGGTTGACTGGCAGAAGCACCCAGACACGGCAAGCAGATTTTAAGCAGAGAAATTCAGTGACAGTTTGCCCTGACTGCTGGCTGTGTAGTTCCCCCTGCATACCTGTGGACCACGTGGCTCCCTTACTGTCTTGTAGTGGATTTTGCGGGGAGGAAGGTGCCTGACGACTGGCAATACTGCTGGCACTTATTGTCCGAGTGTGCTAATAACGGGAAGGTTCTTGGCAGGCATACAAACAGGCATGACAGCAGCCACTAGCAAGCTGCTCTGCCCAACAGTGCTCACAAGAGCAGCACCAAGTGACCAGGCCAGGTGTCCTGCCCTGTCCACGCCCAGGACAGGTAGGCTCTGGTTAGGGCCCTCTCCTGCAAGAGGTACTTGAAGGAACAGCAGCCAGGACTGGGTGGCACCCCATTGCTTCCTGGGGTTGGGATCTGCCCAGTTTCCTGCTGTTCCTGTCCTGGTAAGTTCAAAAGGAGTTCAGCTCAGACACTGTCGACCCTACTTCAGGCTTCCACAAAGCTTTGCATCTAGATAAAGCCTCTGAGATCTCTACTTTCCACCTACTGTCTGGTGTGTCAGAACGCTAGGGCAGAGTGTTCACCTCCTGCAAGGTGCTCCTGGGAAGACCTGTGTGTGCCTGTGGCTGACCCACCCGGGCTGTCTTGCTCTCCCGACTCCCCTCCTCCCTTGCCAGCAGCGAGTTCTGTTTGCTCTGCCTGCTGTCGCYTCGCCCAGTGCCGGGGGAGGCAGGTGGAACGCATGGCTTTCTGCATTGGTTTCTGGTGCAACTCAAAAATGAAGTGATCGCATAGGCGCCAGTGGTAAGCTCTTTTACTTTTCTTCTTCTTTAATTTTTAAAAACACTTCAATATTTTAATGTCCTGACCAGCAGCAGTACAAACACTAAAAGCAAGTTTTTTTTTTTTTTTTGCCCAGAAAAAACAAAACAAACAAAACCCCCAAACAGGAAAAACAAACAAAATCCCCCAAACCACATATTAAAAATGGCAGACTTTTTATAACAATAATTAAAGTAATAAAAACATACAAAACTTTTTTTTAATATATATACACAGTACAAGGCTGAAGCACCTTTGACTTTTCTCTCAAAATTTACGTTTGTATGAAAACACCACCCACTGCAGTAACAATTTGGTGGGTGTGAATCTATGTATACATAGAGCTCTGTACATTCTCCCCCATGGAGTAATAGAAAGGTACCTTCAGTCGTGGGTCTGTTTATCTTTAGGTGAGAGCATTTCCAGGCAGAAGCCTTGGATTGCTCTGTGTGCTCCTAGGACCTGTTGCTTTGAAGATAATTTTGCAGAAAAGTAAAACAAATAAGCCCTTTACTGAGGTTGCACCCAGCCTTCTCTTCAGCTGAAGCAAGTCCTACTCCTTGTAGGAACAGGGCCAACTCCAGGGCCACAGCAAGAGCAAGCCTGGTTCTTGCAGCACAGTAACACGGCACCACGAGGAACAACCAGCCGGGTCTGATCCAATCCCGTGCACCGGGGGCAATAAACAGTATCGTTTTAGTGTTGGTAATGGAGCCTTCATTTCCAGATTAAAAAAAGAATGATGGGGAAGGAGGAGTAAATCCACCTTTGGAAAGAAAAACCATGGGCGTCCTACAGTGGTTGCTCGCTGAGTACAAGAGGTGATCCGACTGCATTGAAGTCAAGGTGAGTGCGTTCATTTTCGTCTGGAGCCTGGAACCCTTTGCTTCATGCATGGCACATTCTCATTTTTTAAGCTTCAAACCTCCCAGTGAAAAATATTAAATATTCAAGGTAATAAAATAGATAATATTTCTATACTATAGGTTCAGCCTAGTGCAAGGGAAACCGTCACCTCGGGTATCCCTTAAAGCAGCCCCTGGGCCAGTGCATGGCGGGCAAGGCAAGGCACTTCCGTAAGTGGTCCAGTTCTGCCTGGAGCCGCTCCCTCTCTGAGACAATCTTCTGCTTCTGGCTCCTCAACTCCTGGGGAAGGGAAATTCTTGTCAAAATACATTCCATCTGTAAGTGTGTGGATTAAGCATGTGTGGTGCACGTGTGTGCCATGGAAAGGCAAACCTGGCACTAGAATTTCAAGCTGGGAAAGGGATGTTTTCAGACAGTGGCCTCTTGAGGACAGTTTGAACTGGCTCTTCCAGAGCCTCAGACTCTGGCAGTACTTACTCTTTGGAATGGGGGATTGAACCCAGGGGTACTCTCTCTTAGCAAGACCCTATCATAAAATTTAAAAAATAGTCACTGAGGCTGGCCTGGAACTGGCAATCCTCCTGCCTCAGCCTCTGGAGTCATCAGGATTACAGGTGTAGGCCACTGTACCCAGCAATAATATATGCTCTTTTTTTTTTTTTTAATTTTTTACTATTTATTTTTTAGTTCTCGGCGGACACAACATCTTTGGTGGTATGTGGTGCTGAGGATCGAACCCGGGCCGCACGCATGCCAGGCGAGCACGCTACCGCTTGAGCCATATCCCCAGCCCAATATATGCTCTTAAAGAAGCAGCATGTTCCACTGTCTCGGCTCTTAGAATCCCCTTTGCCAATGCAATCCTTTTCTGTCCTCTTGAGCAAACAGCATGGGGAGGCAAACAGCACCTCTAAGTCCCACGAGCTGAAGATAGCCCCCCCCCTTCTTTGATGAATCTTGGCTAACTCACTGATGTCTGAATTTCCCTGTGAAATGACAAGTTGTGACCTCTTTAAGGAGATTACCCCTCTGAGGGCCTATTCAAGTCTCAAGATGACACCCACCACCCAAACACACACACTCACCGCCATGCTGTGGGAGAGCTGCTCTGCTGCCAGACTGAGGCTGTAGTGCTGTGCCTCCAGCCGCCGGCACTGTGACTGTAACACCTGACGCTCCAGGTTTTGCTCTGCAAAGACAAGAAGTGGCAATGCAACAACATGCAGGGACCCCATGTCTTCCTGGCCCAGCAGCAACTAGCCTCTCTCCAGTGCAGGTAGACGAGGCCTCTCCTGGGGACCATTGTGCCTGCTGCCTTTGACTGTACAAATTAAGTCCAATCATCAAACAGGATGATAAAAGATCTTGAATCAAAAGGCAGTTTAGGAAGACAGTAGGGGAGAGTAAGTCTTTGTTTTTGAAAGCTGCATCTTAAAAGCCAGATTTTAAAAGGCAAGCTGCCCAATTTCAGAGAGGCTAGAACAATTTTGATAGCATTTAACAAACCAAAATCCCAAACCAAAATCCCAATCCCAAAAGTACTGACAGTCCAATTCAAGGAGTGTACAACATCGGGGGTGGGGATAACATGGAAAACATTAACTTAACAACATACATCATCAGCTCAGCAAACTTAAATGGAATGCTTCTAAAGTTTTACCAACAGGAGTCTACTAATGCCTCAGCAATAGAGGTCCTAGTCATTGACAAGAAAATCAGAAATAWGAAAACTCAAAAGGAAAGAACCCCACTTATTATTTGCAAAAGGTCTGTTCATCTATGATTGCTACCTAGGACTTAGCTTTTTCACTAAGTGAACCTAAAACTAAATCCAATAAAAGAAAACTGGTCATGGATATGCATTTTAAACCATAGTTGTATAAACAAGATGCTAATTATCCCTAAATCTGTAAATTCAATGCAACTGAAAATCATGACAGGATGTTTTTTGGGGATGGGGGGTATAATGTAACAAGATGATCCTAAAATTCAGGGGAGGGAGCCAAGGAAGGGCTGAAACCAGCTGAGCAATAAGCTCAGAGTCAGAGAGGTGCTAAGCTAGGGCCCAACTTAAAACACCCAGACAGATCTGCCTCCATACACACAGGTGAATCCCACGCACGAGAAAGCAACACTTGAGGGACGCAAGAACATCTCATAGAGGAGCATCCTCACAGCCCTGGGTTAGGGAAAGAACTCCAAACAAGTCATTGGAAATGACTGATATGTCATAACTGATTTTTTTTTTTGTATGACTACTGGAGACTGAACCCAAGACCTCCAGCATGCCAAGCAAGTGTTCTACCATTAAGTTAATCCCCAACCCTATTAATTTTGTTATTTTGAGACAGGGTCTCACTAAGGTGCCTGGCTCGCTTCGAACTTGTGATACTCCTATTTCAGCCTCCTAGGTTGGTATCATAGGAACATGTCAATGCAGTGTGCTTTTTTTGACTTGTTTATGAGTTATGCAGTGCTGGAGGTTAAACCCAAGGCCTCATGCATGCTAGGCAAGCAGTACACCTCTGTGCCACACCCTAGCCCCTGCAATCCCACCTTAACATTACTTAAGGCATAGCAATCTACAACATTGGGCAATAAACAGCAGGAGGCAAACAGTGGTACCTGAGATTTGCTAGCCATGCTGGCACAGGCTGATGGATACCCAAGCATTCCCACTGTTCCCCTATGAGGTCTTTGTGGACATTCTGAGGAAGAGGCAGTAAGAAGTGGTGTGCTATTAAGCACAATGGCAATGACCTAGTCTGGGATTTGTGAGCCTGAGCCCCCGGTCAGACTCTCTGAAGGGCTGGAGTGTGCACTCCTAGTTGAGAGCAAAGCGGCCTGGGTTGTGCCAGACTTGGAAAGCCTTGGGCAGAATCGAGAAATGAACCTCGGAGTAGAGTTAGCTTAAAACACAGCCATCATCCATGACACTCCTTTCAGGGGTCCCATCATGCCTCTCAGGGACACAATCAGGCATGGTGACCAGGTTGGCTACTGGGACTTGGCACACTAGGTGACAGCCCAAGGAGAAAGACCCATGTCTAAGCTGTCCTACTGAGTAACAGGTGCCACACCCAGCCAATGCTCTCGTAATTCACCGTGCCCAGGGGTTGGGGCACTGCTCAGCTACCAGGTAGGTGCCTGACATGTGCAGAGGTCTGAGTTCTAGCCCAGTAGCCTCCATGCCCAAACCCCCAAACTGCCCCAGTGAGAATGGCCTCAGCTTTGGCATGAGGAATTACCAGTGCCAGAGGCAGGAACCTGAGGAAATTCACCTTCCGGGACCTGCATCTAGTTACCCAGAAAAAGCTCCAGCACTGACTCCAAAGCAGCCCCTGAAGCTGGCAGGAGTTTTGTGTCTATAGGTGCTGTGGCTTCCTCCCCCAGAGCCTGTACCTTCTACGTGTTCCTGGTAAGCTTCAAAAATCGCCTCAATCCCTTGCCACTTGCGCCTGGGGGCCTCCTCCTCCTCCTCCTCCTCTTCACCGTCATCCTCACCGTCGTCCTCCTCTTCTGAGTCTGGGTCCATCTCCTGTGTGGAAGGGCCCCTCCTCCCAGGTGGGAGCTCCTGTTGCCCGTTATGCTGGGGCAGGGGGACCCGACTGGAGGACTGCAGCTCAGGAATGTTGTAGTGGATGGATGTGTCGATCTTGTGGTTCTGCTCTGCAGACAGCACAGCCACACTCCCTGGGGAAGATAAACCAGGCGTCTCAAGGAAGGGTCTCCAGAGGCTTTGCCCTACCTTTGGTGCAGAGTCGTACCTGCAGGCAGATTAAAGATAAAGCACGGAGAGCTCAAGGTGGCTCCTCACAGGAGGATGGGACTCCTGTGTGACCTTGGGCAAGTTCATCAGTTTGAATTTCTTTGCCCTCAGTAAATGCAGCTCCTCCTCCCTTGAAGGGCGTGAGCATTTCAGTCCCTGGGCACAGCATCAGCACCAGCACCCCCTGTGGCATGCATGGCCCTGCTGCCTCTGGGTGCTGGCACAGTCAATAGCCTGGCATGGCAGGATGAAGAAGCAGGTGAATAAAACAAGGCAGGAAAAACTATCCCAGGACCACACTGAAGTGTGTAAGGTGTGGCTGGAAGGAGCAGGAGGGTGGTTCAAAGTTCCTAAAAACCATCTCAAAATCTACCCTAAAGAGTAGGGACCCATCTGCCTCTTGTAAAAAATTTATCCTGAAAAATGGTTCTTCCTAATAAATTTATGATAAAAATCCAGTAACACACTCCCTAATTTTTGTGGAGTTGTTTCCCCAATGTTCAGTGCTGGGGATGGAATCCAAAGTCTCATGCATGCTGGGCACGTGTGCTACCTCTAAGCTGGCCCCTCGCCCTGGGGAGTCTTTTAATCACTGCACAACCCACTACCCAGAGTTCCTTGCTTCCTGGGGCCTGATTCATCTCTGCTGACAGCGTGAACTCGGGTGGAAGATCCAGCTCTGTGTCAGAGCTGGAAGTCTGTTAGTTCAGCTTTAAAGGCATGAAGCACTAAACACCTAAACAAGATCTGGCATAAGGAGTGACTGGCTACTGCCGTTCACATTCATCTCATGCCCAATAGTTGCTTGTTGAAGATTTTTTTTTTTTTCTTTTTGGTGCTAGGAATTGAACAAAGAGAGCACTTTGCTATTGGGCCACATCCCCAGCCCTTTTTACTTTCTGAGACAGAGTCTTGCACTTGTGGTCCGTTTGTCCCAAGTCCCAGGGATTACAGGCCTGCACCATCACACCCACTGTTGAGGATTTTTAAAAATGTCGAGTTTTGATTAACTGGGAATTACATGCAGTAATCCCTGTTCTCTGACCTTCAATGACTCCCATCAAATTTAAGAGGGTGTGGGACCAGGAAAACAGTGCTGTCGCTACACACTTGCTGGGTCTCACGGAATGAGCACAGGCACACTGGTGCCTCATCAAAGGACCAGAGGGGCCACTCTATTGTAGAAGACACAGCAGCTCACGTTCCCTTACTCATGGCATTACCTGCTCTATGACCTGGAAGTGTGGTCCACAGATCAGCTGCATTAGGTTTGCCTGGGGGCGTGTTAGAAATGGAGTCCTGGGTCCTGCTCTAGACCCCTGCCTGGTGAGATCCCCAGGTGCCCGATGGGCACTGAAGTTTGAGAGTGCACGCACATGGCTGTGCTGAGCAGCTGGTGTGCAAAGACATTAAGCAGCTGCTAACTCATCCTGGGAGCAGAGTGGGACGGGCAGCCTCATTACCTTTATGCTTCTGCAGGGCCTTCTGGGTGGACTGCAGCACCGACTCATGGAACTGATGCGCAAACTCTTCTGCCATGAAGGGCTCCCACGGCTTGCTCTTCCCGTTGATGCTGTGGGACAATGGCACAGGAATGTCCTTGGGTGCAGCACCCCGGATGTAATGAAGCATGCTCAGGTTCTTCTTGCCCCCAGGGGCCTCGCTCAGCCTGGCCTTCTCACCGCTGGTAGGAGCTGGCTCCTGGACTCTCGATAGCTCTTGGGGCCGCAGCTGTTCTAGTCTCCCAGTCTCCGCGGCCTTTGGGATGTCGGACAAGGAGGCAGCGACCCCAACAGGCTTATCCACCTCCAGAGAAGCTGGCTGTGTGGCTGGTTCTTTGAGAGACAGAAAATGAGGGTAGGTTAAGAGCTGCAAGTTAACCGGCTGAGTGTCTAGCACGCAGACCCTGGTCTCTAGGAGCTTATGTTCACCAAAGACCTAGTGCAAAAAGCCAAGACTTGGGGACACTGAATTAAAATTGTTGTGTACGCGGATAAGGTCTGAAGACACGGAGTGCTTAGAGGCAGGTCCATCTGGGAACAGTGCCTCCAGAGAGCATCTGGGAAGAAACAGATCGGAAGGAAGAAGCAAGTCACTTCTGGTCCCGAAAAGGTAGGGAGTCGTTTAGTCCAGCTGGATAGAAAGAGCACCGAGCAGCAGAGCTAAGAGGACTGCACTGTGAGGCTTTCTGCTTCCTTCGCTGCACAGAGGCACAGTCAGACTTGAGGAAGGAGGTGAGAGCAGGTGCTGGAGTGGTGGGTGCAGACAGCCTCAGGCCTCAGGCCCACCCACGATGACCACCAGGTGGCTCTATGGCAGCAGGCACCCTCCCTCGGCTCTGTGCCCAGCTGTGAACTCATACTGTATCTGCAGACCTGCACACTGTGTGCGAAACACGAACTGTACAAGAGAGACGGAGAGAAGGTGGAGGAAAGCGCTGTCTCCAGCAGGTCAGGTCTACGACGAAGACGACCTGAGGGTCACCTCTGACCCTGGGCAGCCCATAGTTCCAGCTGGTGGTAGGTGGGGCTGTCCTTCCCTTACCGCTCAAGGAGACGGCAGGACTGTCCCTCGGAGAGTTTGTCAACGAGTCTGCCACTGCTGCTGACAGTGCCCTCTGCTTCACGGCATGGAGCATTTCAACAAGCCTCTCTTTGTCTGTGAGAAAAGCAGCCCGAGGTTACCGAGGCAGCCGTCCTCTGAGCGGGAAGGAAGGTGGGAGTCTAGCCCCACTGTGATTGGCAGGGCGAGCCCCTCAAACTAAGAAGAACTGAGAGCGAGTGCCATGAGATGGAGCCTCTGTCTACACGCGGGCCAGGTTCTTGGGCTCCCACCGCACGTCTCAGATGTGCTCCAGACCGCTGTGGCACTCTTTAAGAGACAAGGAGATGGCCCCTGTGAAAGGAGACACTCTGGGGCACAGTGCCCCTTCCGGTATATGTCTGGTGCTTCAGCGCCACCCCAGAATCACAGCCATTTCCTGAAAAGGAATGCAGACCCCAACAAGTTCCACCCCACAGGTCCTGTTTCAGCGGCACTTCCTGCCAGCTGTGAAACCGAAGAGGCCGCGGTGCTGATGCTTCCTCTAGAAATTCAGCCAGGTGAAAAGATGGTTTTTGCAAACAAAACTAGACATGTTTCCAGGGATTTGTGTTGGCAATCAACCTGTCACTAACTCTTAAAGGGAAAGCAGAGCGCGACCTGCTGTTACAATGGGAACAAACTGCTACATCTCAGGAAAGGAACATGYTGAGGCAAATAACGGGACCCTGAGGCCCTCTTTGCTTTCCCTTGACTTTCTTAGCACCAGGCTAGTGTGTCAGGCAAGCCGAGGAAGCGGAAGAGCTAAGGAAGTGCCGCAGCACACCGTCTCTCCTGCACGATGGCTTTGAGCCCAGAGGGTCTTTCCCAACATGGCCAGACCCATCTGGAAGCATCTTTCAGGGCAAGCTGTCTGCTCAGCATGTGTTGGCTGTACCTGGTGGCTACAGGCCATCCCTCTACCTCCCTCTCCAGGCCTCCTGCCATCAGAACACAAAGCCCAGAAGATCTTAGCGGCCCACCCAAAGGAAGAAGCGCCTGCAGTTTGCAAGCCCAGAGTGCCTGATGAATGGAAGGCAGCATCTCCCACACTCCCAGGTGGAGTCCCTGAAGTGCTGTGCCTTCTCAGGCGCTAGAGGATGGAGAGATGCCAGGGCACCGTCAGCTCCAGATAGGCTGCACATGCAGGAGGACCACTAGGACTTCATGTCCATGCAGGATGCAACCAGAAGAAATGGGCTCAAGTGGGGAGCAGCCCTGGTGGGCCTGCTTCAGAAGCACATGCCCCCTGGGAGCCCCATCTGCCCACCCACGCAGGCGTGAGGCCGTACCTTTCCTCTTCTCGGCACTGATGTGGGTCAGGTTGAAGATGGTCAGGAACTTCCTCTTCTCCTCGAAGTTGGGACTGTTGTTCATCTCGTCGGGGCTGTAGCGGGTAGACAGTGCCAGTCTCGGCGAAGGCGTCTGCCGCTTACTTTGAATTGCCGGGGGTGAGGGGCTCCTCTCTCTCAGCATCCGTCGCCGCTTCCTCCGCTTCTGGGCCACCAGTTCCTCCTTCTGCTGTTGGGTGGTCAAGCCAAAAAGTTGCAAAAACTCTAGCTTCTGGATTGGGAAAGAAAACAAATCAGTTGGAAATCACTGCAGTGGTCTGTTCTCGCTGTCCCGGGGTCCCCCTCTGGGGTCCTCCAATCTGCTGTGGCCAACTCGGTGCCAGCGACGATGGACTAGGGGATTCAAGACTAAGAGCCCAGCCCCGAGCATGCCCCAGAGGTGAGGAGGCCACTACCTCGGAGGACGTGTCCAGTTTGAGGGGGGGCTGCTCGGCTACGCAGCGGAGGTGGGCTCTGACCTCCTCCTCGTCGCTCTCGTCATAGGACTCATCAAGGTCGTAGTAGTACCCTGGTGGCAGAAGGCTGCACTCAGTCAAGGAAAGACCAGCCATCAGGCCACCTGCAGGTCTCTTGGAGCACCCCTAAAATCAGTTCCTTCCCACCCCACTGGCCACCTGCACTAAGAACAGCAGTTGCCCAGTTGGCCTGGGACCAAGTGACTGGGCAGACAATACCCTCTGGCAGGTGCCGAGGGTGCACACGTGCTCCCTCCTACTGTGACCACCCGGCCTCCCCCTGGGAGGTAGAGCCCTGCTCCATGGTCACAGGGTTGCTGGCCTTCTCTTTTACAAGATGATGGGGGAAGAAAAACCTCAGTTGGGCCCCAAATCTAACTTAGATGAGCAACCCAGTAAGACACTGCTGCACTCTGGCTGTCCCAGAGCCTCGCAGCCAGGCCTCTTCCCTGCTTTCCCCAGCTCTCTGGCAGCTCAGTGAGCTGCTAGCTGAGCTTCCTGTACCAGCAGAACAGTTAGGAAGTGCCCAGCTCTTGGCCTGGCAGGGGCAGCGCCAGCTGTATTCCGCATTCTCTGGCCACCTGTCTACAATTGACACCAACCCTGTACTTAGWGCCCTGCTAGGCCCAGGTCTGGCCTGTCACCAGCTTCTTCCCCTGTTAATGCTGCACTATTAATATTTAACGCCACTTCATCAGTCTCCACACACCACTTATCAATCCTGTGCGTCTGCAGCACCATCCTACACGCAGGCTTCAATTTACCCATTTGTGCACCATGGCAAGATAGGGGGTGGGGGCCTGGGCCTGTCTCCCAAGTGGAGGTATCAGGTGCTGTATAAAGGTCTACAAATTTGCCACCTGAAGCCTATTAACACTCCTGCACTGGGAGCAGGGTGAGCTGGCACTAGGAGCCCTCATTCTGCTAAATTCCAGTTCTCAAGCAGGCTGGGTTCCAGGGGGCTGCACCTTTTTCCTGCGCCTCCCGCCGCCGGCGCTCCTCCAGATCCAGCTTGCTGACCAGCCTCCGGCGCTGCTGTAGGAATTCGTCATAGATGTACGAAGGGTCAGGGCCCCTGGGTGTTGGATGCCGGTAAGGTGAGCCAGGCTTCAAAGGCCCACTGAGCTCCCCGAAGGAGGCTGCCTGGGGGAGGGAGGCTCGCTGCTGGCCCAGGATGGTCTGCGTGGACTTCTCGAGCTCAGCAAGAAAGGGCCCAGGCCCTGGGGGGAAGGCCTGGGGCTCCAGGCTTCCTGCCTCCCTTGGTGGAGGCTGGTACTTGTCCAGGGGGGCAGTCTCGCGCTTCCGGGGCTCCTCAGCCTTCTCTGGGCAGTAGACACGCTCCACCTTCACCAGCGGCACAGCAGCCTGGCGGCTGGGCTCAAATGCAGCTGGGTGGCTGTGCAGAGTGTGGCTCTCAGCCCGCCGCGTCTCCAAGGCCGTGTCCATCATGGACACTGGGTTCCAGAGGGCCGTGGGCACGGTGTGGTGCTGGGGCTTTGGGGAGATGAGAGGAGGAGGCCCACCAAAGTGCTGTGGAGGGTCACGGCTGCCCTGCTCATGACGGTTTGGTCCTGGCCTGTGGAGACAGCAGTTGAACCCATCAGTCACTCACGCTGCCCACTGGCCCCTAAGGTCCCCGTGGGGCTCCCTTGAGAAATGGGTAGGAGGGAAAGGAAGAAGGATGTCGCTTGTGTGCCACATCCCAGGGCTGGGGTTTCAAGTCCTCCATTCTGAAAACCGARGCAGGCGTGTACAGACCTGCCTTGAGAGGACACGGAGGCTCAGGCCCGGGATCCTGCCTGCTGTACAAACACCCACAAACACGGGCCTCATCCTGCACTTTACTGGCAAATTCATCCCTCAGTGAGATGTGGGCCTGCCTCGGGCTTCTCCTCCAAGCAATGGGCAAGTAGCAGAGGGTGGGTCAGCCCTCTGTGCAGGGGCCGTGTCTGTCTGCCCAGCCTAGAGCCAGAACAATAACGAGGGAGCCATGCCCATGAGGTGGGAGCCCAGCTGCTGCCCGCCCCCCTGGTGGTCCCCATCAGAACTGCAGTGGCTCCTACCTGGGCAGGAGGGTGGTGGGGATCTTAAAGCAGAGGACCTTCCTGTAGACAAGAAGCTTTTCACATGGTTATCATTAAATGTTTCCCCTCTGCATTTAAAAGGAGTCATTTCATGAACGGCTATTTTGAATGTGTACCTATCTTCCAAAGCTTTCTTAAGACACCTAAGATGTTTGAATCCATGCTGCCCACTGGTCTAGGTCAAGGGTTGCAGGGAAGAAAAGGGCAGAGGCCAGGGTCTCAGTCCTCCCTCCCCACCTAGCTGGGGATCTGTGTAACAGGGCCATCATGGCTGCCCCTCATTATACAGTCCCGGTAGTGACCCCCCAAGCAGTGGACATGGAGACCACCACCAAGAAACCGTATCCACAGGAGAACAGCAAAGCAATAAAACCGTTAGTTAGAATAAATATTTCACACACCAGGGCCAAACACTGAACGGTTTTCCAGCTGGGAGCGCAAGAACCCCGTCAGAACATCAAATTCATGATGCTATAGGGCCACGAGTACAGCCAGGCAGAGGGCCTCAGTGCCCCAGTGGCTCCCAATGGGAAGCACGTGTGTAGACCAAGCCCTGAAAGCCCTGAGTGCCAGGGAGGCTGAATGTGGCTGGTGGACACTCTTGGGCCTCTGTGTGAGGCAGATCTGCAAGTCAGAGGGCAGCTCCCTGAGTAGACAGGGCTGATGCACAGGGACAGTCTCTAGCAGGGGGGACCCCATTGCAGCTGTGCTGAGTAGACAGGGGGCCAGGCCTAATGCCCTCCCAGTCACCCGGATTAGCCCAGCTAATCCCCTTGCTGCCCTGCTCAACAACAGAGCAGGGAGGGAGGGAGGGAGGGAGGGAGGGAGGGAGGGAGTGAAGATTGGAGCGGCAGGGTGCCGAGTCGCAGACACCGCAGTGTCTTATGGCAGACAGCACCACAGCTGCTGAGGGCTGCAAGATGCTCAGGGATCTTCCCGCCTACCCTCCTTGTGCTGAGGAAAGAGAACAGAAGCTGTGTCCCTGGGAGGCACAGAAGGCTTGGCTCTTCAGAATGGGGACATGATGCCCAGGCAAGTAGGGACAGGGAGGTCTAGGGGGCGCTGGTGACCAGCTTACAAGGCCAATAGGGGCCTGATGACAGGCACAGGTCTCCTAAGAAATTCTAAGAGGGTTTAAAAATAAGGGATCTCTCTTTCATTTTAAGCAATAAAGCACATCTTTTCCTTAAATAAAAATTAAAGGCAGTCCCCATCTCATGGGGAAAATGAAAGCTGAAAAGAAGAAGAGAGTGGAGAAAACAGGGATTTTAGTACATAAGGCTCCTCCCTTGCCATCTTCTGGTGCCATAAATGGTGTACCAGGACTGGGTGGCTCTGCCCACAGTGCTCCTGAGCTGGCTGTGGCCTCAACTTCCTCGCCGGAAAAGGGAATGGGGTGAGGCCTGGAACCTGCAGAAGCAGGCACCTCTGCAGGGTGCTGGGCTAACCCCAGGTGCCCCCTCACAGAGGTCCCCACGCCCACCCTGCCCCACCTACTGTCCCACCTGGTGCTGTCGGGCCGGTGCTCCGCCTCTGTGGGCACCGGGGGCCGGCCCATGTCCAGGTGCTGCTCCAGCACCTGCTGCCGGAACTCGGACACCTGTGACTGCCGGTCTTCCTTCTCCTGCCGTAGCCGCCGCTGCCGTGCCAGCCACTTCTCCTCCTCGTTGGTGCGCTGGATCAGCAGGGCTGTGGCAGCACTGCTCCCCGGCAGAGAGAAGATGCCGTGGTTGGAGATGAGGCTGGGCACGGTGTGGTGTGGGGTAGGTACTGGGTGCAAGGGGTGCTGCACAGGCTTGGGCGCCTGCAGGCCCATGTCCTTCAGCTTCTCTGTGGGGAGAAATGCCGTCACAGCAGGGTCCCAGTGCCCCCATCCCTTCTCACTGCCTTTCAATGGACTCTTCCCACACCCTCACGGGAGCTCTCTGGAAGCACATCTTGTCCGAGAGCAGCACGCTCGGTGGCCGGCCAGCCCATTTGTACTGGTGCAAGCAGAGCCATTATTAAAAGCTACTTAATTAAAAAAATCAACAACTTTCAATGAAATAAATTACATTCAACACAAGGCTGGGGCTCATCACTTCCACGCTCTCGGGGCTACCCATCTACCTCTCCTGTACTGGGTGCCACCACGCATCTCCAAACTCTGCTCACCAACATGACCCCGTGGCTTGAAACCAGTCACGCTGGGAGTATTTGTGCCCCAGCAATTGGCTCTTCCCTGCAGTGCCAGGTGTGCCGCTGACCCTCGGTCCCTCCCTCCTGCTGACAGCCCGGGTACCTGCTCGGGTGGGGGTCAGCTGCTCCGAGGGCTTGACTCGCTCTTCGGCCGTGTGGCCCCGGAGCCCRTGCAGCTCAGCCACAGGCAGGAAGGCCGGCTCCAGCGCCTTGGCAGTCAGCAGCTCCTTCTCCCGTGCCCGCTGCTCCCGCTGGCGCTCCAGCTCCCGCTCCCGCTCCTTCTCCCGCTCACGCTCCAGCTCCTTTTCCCGCTCGCGCTCCTTCTCGCGTTCACGCTCGCGCTCCTTCTCCCGCTCCCGGTCAGCCTCTCGCTCTCGCTCCCGCTCTCTCTCCCGACGCAGCTCCTCGTCCATCTGTAGCCTGTGGGGCAAGCAGAAAGGGCTCGGGGACCCTGGAGAGGACGACCCGGGGCAGCCCACCACAGGAATCCCAACAGGGACAGCCGGCTCTCCTCTCGTTAGGGCAAGAAGAACCTCAGACCCAGAGTCCCACGAGACCCAAACGCCCTCAAGGCCCTTGGCCTGCCGGGTRCACCGCCAAGAGTGGAGAACTTCGAATAGGCCCGTCGCCACCCCATTGAGCAGGTAAAGAAGCTCATCACCAAAGGCCAGGAGCCCACCAGACTCCAGCCAGTGCTTCCCTCCCCCTGCTGTCCAGGAGTAAGCGGACCCCACCGCCCGCAGCCCAGGACAAAGCTCACCTCTCTGCACTCAGGCTGGACATTCGCTCAGAGTGCAGCGCTGCAAGGGACGAGTGGGCAAGCTCGGGCGGGTAGCGGACCCCAGAGAGGTGCAGGTGCACAGCCGATGGGTGCAGCGGGGGCAGGGAACTGGGGGCGGGGATGGGGTAGAACGGGGACCTCAGGGCCGATAGGCAATAGGAGTCGTCCATCCTGCATGAAAAGAAGGGACGGGGCAGRGGCGGGGGGGCTACTGTCACTCACAGGAAAGGTAAGCGTACCTAGCATGTGCAAAGTCCCAGTCAATAGGTGCTGCTTGGCTAGGTACGTCCACCTGTCTAGGCACGTTCCATGTGGCAAACTAGTAATAATAGGTGCAGGCCATGTCTTAAGGGCTGTCCACTTCTGATGACACCTATCATGCCAGGTTCAGGAGGTTGCCATCCTGAACAAGAATGCTACATGGCTTTCTCCAGGGCCTGTCACTTGCAAAGGCACCCTGCACACACCACACTCACAGCTACCAGCTGCTGTGGCTACTGCCCAGAGCATAAAGACCAGGAAGTAGCTGCCCAGGCCACGGGGCCTCCCTCCAGAAGGAAATGCCTGATGGTAGTTAGGGGTTGGTGGGACCTGGGGAAGGACAAAGGGGCTGCCCCAGGCTTTCCTTGGGAGCGTGGCCCCAGGGCCCAAGAGACACCTCCCACCAGGTTGCACTCTGCAGAGAACAGAGCAGTCGGTGCGGGAGCCCAGGCGGGGGTGGCTCACCTGAAGGCCGGGTGGGGGAAAGGGTGGGGGGCCAGGTAGCTGGGGTGGTAGTAGGCAGCGGCTGGGTCCAGGCTAAGAGGGGGTAGGGAGGACATGCGCAGATCCTCAGCAGTGTGGTAGGGCCGGAAGCTTCTCAGGTAGTCCTCGGTCACAGTGCTGGGCGGCACCACGTGGTGCACGGGCCGCTGGAGGCTGTAGGGACAGCAGGCAGGCAAGCCGACAGGTGAAGGAGGCCTTCCAGCCGGGAAATGTTGGGCTCCCACCTCAGGCAGCAGCTCGGCAGGGAGGGCAGGGCACAGATGCCCATCACCCCTGCTCTGGGCACAGTCCTGCCTCTCAGCAGTATGACACAGGCCTGCAGGTCCCTTAAGGTCCTCACCAGTGGGTATGGCTACAACCCCCAGTCTGGAGGGACTCCGGCCCCAGGACAGCTCGCAGCAGGGCTGGAGCGAGTTAACAGTCTCGGTGTGGAACGGACACAGGCACAGATGGGGCCTGCTCCTGGGGCAGGGCCAGCCACAGAGGCCAGCGACCATCTGGCGGCTCAGGCTTAGCCTCAGCTGGTGCAGGTTCCAGGCGGCCCAAGCACGGCCAGCCAAAGCCTGCCTCAGGGACCCAGAGACACTGCCCTCCCCAGTCCTTCCCATGGCCCCAGCACTTACTTGAGTGGTGGGAAGCGGGAGTCCTGCACAACAGAGCTTGGGGAGAGGCCAAAGGGGTAGGGTGTGCTGAGCAAGTGGGAGGGGATGGCGGGCCCCCCCGCCTTCTCCTGGGGCAGTGGCGGCTCCACAATGAGGCGCTCCCGACCACTGCTGCTGCTCCTTGAGGTGGCGTCCTGMAGGACAGAGCCAGGGTCAGTACCAGGGAGCCTGCGTCAAGGCCCCAGGGCATATGGCCAGCAGAGCCAGCTCTGGCCATGCCTGGGCTTCTTCAGACTGTGGAAATGCCCCAGGTTCAGCTTGTGTTCTAGAAACATCCTTTCCAGGAGCTTTACTACCAGAAAAGCAGCACATGGTGTGCCGGGGTCACTCCTCACTGTGGCCTTGGCCCCACAGGCTCAGCACCTCAGGAAGAGAGCCTGCACCCAGCCATGGAGTGAGAGGAGGTGGCAGCTCCAGGGCCTGCCCCCTGACCTGGCCCCCAGACCAAGGGGTTCTACCTGAACTGCCCCCCACAGTAGCATCCAGCCCATGAGAGGTCCTGCCTGTCCTTGTCATCTGTCACCACTGGCAGGCCCCCCCGGCCTTGCTTCACACCCGCACAACTCCTGGCCAGCAAAGCAGGCGGACAGCGGACATGCTCCCTGGGCAGGCGTCAGCTCTGCCACTCTGAGCCACAGCAACGGGAAGCTGGGGTCAGGGCCCTGCGATTGGCTCCTTGCTGCACCAGCAGGAACAGGTGCTGAGCCTGTCACCTGCCCCGGAGCCTGACCAGCTTACCCCTCCCGGTGCCACTCTCCTCTGTCCAGAGGCCAGGCTGGCACGGCGCACCACAGCCCAGCCAGCCCCTGCGCAGACAGGGAGGCCCCTCCTGCCCTCTACCTTCCCAGCACGCGCTCTCCACAGGACAGTCAGTGACAACTAATTGAAGGAGACAGGTCGCTGATTGGAATTTTTAATGAGTAGCAACATCTGCTCCTTTCTCTGTGCCTGGCAGGCCCTCGGCTCCCTGCAGGGCTCCTGCACGTTCGTGACCTCTGACCTGCCCTCCCAGAAGGGGCGTTCATGCAGGTCTCCAGGGTGGGACACACTCGGCTGTCCCGTGCCAGCCGCAGGATCCTCCAGCTGCCCSAGTTACAGCAGGGTGGGCTCCCACCTGGACTCGGGAACAGGCTCCTGTCTGGTCCCTGACTGCTGTGCCTCAGTTCCCCCACTGTCACATGCCAGTCAGCCCGGTGTAGCGTGGTTGGCCACAGAGGTGGACAGGATGCAGGTAAGGCATGAACTTGGGCTGGGCCTCACAGCTTGCGCCATGTCCCTCACTGGCCCCTTGCACCAAYGTCCTCAGGCCACTTCCCGAGTGGGGCTCCCTGCACCTCTCTCTCCTCCCCACAAAGGACCAGGGTGCAATGGGTCCTGGGTGAGGGAAAGGACGGAGACACCCCTGTGCCTAAGATCTAGGATGAGCCAAACCGGATGGCACAGCCTCAGAGATCTTGGGGACCAGGGTACAGTCCCTAGAACTTCAGTCAGGACAGCCCCCACCAGCCCCCTTCTCCCCTTAGCCAGGGACAAAGCCTTGCTTGAAGGCAGCTGGGCCAGATGGCACCTCCCTGGCTGAGGACAAACCGAGGAAGGGGTGTACTCAGAGGGCAGGGGGCTCCGCAGCCAGACCCACGTGCCTGCGGCTGCCGTCTGCCTGGAGCCCAGCCAAGCCTGCACCAGGCACCTGAGAACTGGGTCAGCGGGCTGGGCCTCACTGGGTGAAGAGCGGGTGACAAGGCAGCACCTTCACCCTGAGCGAGGCAGGCCCCGGGTGGCCCCCAACCACTCCATGGTGGTGGCCGGTGTGTGTGGGTGTTGCTGCAGACGGGCACGTCAGGGTGCACCTGCAGGGCAGCTCGTTACTCCTGGGCAACGGCCGTGGGCGCAGCTGCACGAGGCGGCGGCAGGCAGGGAGGGAGGGGAGCCCCCTGGGTGACGAGGGAGGCCCCACAGCAGGCAGGCGGGAAGGCCCTGCTGGCTGCAGAACAGACCATCCTTCACCCACCTCTCCTTCTGCAGCTGGCACTCCCAGGGACAGCGGCGACCCCCGGGAAGAAAGGGCCAGCACACCAACTGTGGCCACACGGAGGGAGGCAGGCCTCTCCCACAGGATTCGGCTCTCCACTGGGCCTTTGTGCCGCTGGTGAGCGCGTCACCTGCTCATCTGGCGCCTCCTCCCTCCCCTCCTCCCTCCGCATCAGGGGCTCACCAGCTGCGGTGGTGAAGTGCTGCAGCAGAGCTCCCCTGGTCCCCTCCCCAGGATCACTGAGCGCTTCTGAGGCAGTAGGGACTCTCCTTGGGAGAGCCTGCTCTGGGCAGGAGGCAGGTGGCAACCCCACTGAGCCCCTGCGACTTGTGGGGGCATTCACAGGCACCCTGGGTGGGGGTACGGGCTCTGGTCTGCAGCTGGGCGCAGGTGTCCCCGGGAGGCTGCTCTTGGGTGGGAGCAAGAGCCATAGTCGCCAGCAGGGAGGAACAGCACCTGTGTCTCGGTCTCCTGCCTCCCCCAAGGTCAAGGCTCTGACCCCCAGGGGAGGAGTGTGTGGCGAGAAGTCCAGAGGAACACTCAACTCCCTTCACCAGGAGGAAGGCCCTCCTGTCCTCCCTGTCCAAGCTGCACTTGGTGGGGGGCGAAGCCACACAGACAGGGCTCCAGGGGCACGTGAGGCTCCAGGCCAAGACGCCAAGGTCAGCAGAGGCCAYGTCAGGATGGGAGTCCTGCCTGGGCTAACTATTCCTGGGGGGTGCAAGACTCCTGCTRGAATCCTCAGGGGTCTCCACCCTGGAGCAGGGTGGTCTGTGGCCTGAGGCTGGCTCTTGTCCTGCCTCAAGAGCAGCCAAGGTGATGACCAAGCTGCTGAGCCCAACCCCCACCCTGCCCAGCAGGGGAGACAGGGAGTGGGCGCAGGGGAGAGGTTTCCAAGCAGGGCCACCCCTCTGGGAACATAGCAGAAAATTCAGATCCTGCTGCCAACGAAGGTTCTTAATTAGGAAGGGCCCCTCCAGGCCCAGCACCAGGGTGCGTGGCAGAGCCTGGCCCTGGCTCCTGGGCTCCCTGGCACAGGCAGTCACCAGTGAGATGGGTGAGGGGCTGCAGGTACAAAAGGAGCCCCCATGACAGGGAAAGGCCTCCTCTGGGGGCTTCCAATGTAAAGACAGGCGCGAAACCCCGGGACTTCCTGCCTGGTGGGCTGTAGCCAGCTCTTCCTATGTCAATTCCAGTCTGAGCCAGGTCAAGTGCTGAGCAGCCCYCCATCCTGACCAGCACCTGGGGCGTGGCTGCACGTGGAGATGGGGCCTAGGAGGCCACACTGTGCACACCACTAAGGTGTGCCTGGTCCSATGACTGGAGTGCGCCCAAGAGGGGACCAGGACGTGGGCAGAAGATGCAGTGTGCAAGCCAAGGAGAGGCCTCAGGAGGGACAGGCCTGCCCACAGCCCCACCTCGGGCACTACTCTCCAGCACGGTGGGGAACAAACCACAGTGACGCTGCCTCGCCTGAGGTGAGGTGCTCTGTCCTGGCTACCTGAGCAGGTGACACCAGGGTCACTCAGCCCTCAGAGTGAGGTGCCAGCTCTGACCCCACCTCAGAGTCTGGAGCCACAGAAGCCCAGGAAGTCCCCTCCCTGGGGAGGCACCTGCCCTGCTCAGACCCACTCACCGGACGGCTGTCGCTCCTCCAGACCCCGTTGACAGTCTTGGTTGGGGCGATGGTCACCACCGGAGGTGTGCTGGGGACACTGTGGCCCCCAGGGGGGACGATGATGGGACCCATGGGCACACGCTTGGGTGTGCTGGCAGGGGAGCTATGGTTGGTGGCTGGAGAGGACACAGGTGACGACTCGCTGCTCAGCGATGACCCTGTGGAAGGAACACAGCAGCTGAGCGGGGCCAGGCCACCCTGCGCCACCGCCACTCCAGGAAGCTTCCCGCACCCACACACGGGAGGGGGCGGGGACGCCAGGCCTGGTCAGCGGCTCAGCCACGGTCCCTGTGCCCCACAGGCTGGGACAGCAAACCCCAGGCACGCAGTGCTCCAGTGCCGCCCCACCCCMCCCGGGGAGCCCTGTCCCACAGCCAGCTGTCCTGGCTCCAGGAGGGGAGGGCTGTGCACGTGGCCTGGGCAGAGCTGCGGCGAGCCCACCAGCAACTCTTGCCAGGGCCTGAGTGTCCTTGGGGGCTGGGACCTGGACTGGGTGGCCCAGGAGGCCAACACCAGTGTCCAGGAGGCTTGAGGCTTGCAGGTCATCAGCAGATGTTCACCTTTAGACGTCACCCCCAGGTAAGTCAGCACCTTAGAGCACAAAGCTCGTGGGTCGGATGTTCACCACGCTGCAGAAACACTACCATCCATTTCCAGAACATTCCCCGCACCCCAGAGAGAAGCCCCTGTCCCTCAGTGTCGAGGCAGGGGTCAGGCAGAAGGCGAGGAGGATGGCCTCAGCCGTGTGACCAGGAGGCAGAGGCCCCAGGGGCTTTTCCATCGGGACAGAACCTTACTTGAGCAAGGGGTAGAGTAGCTCTGCAGACCCAGGAGGCACCCCTGTCCCCCGGGGGGCACCCTGCTCCCTCGGCACAGTCCTGCCATCTCCTGCAGGAATGCGGCCCTGGTCTCTTTAACAGGGCTCCCTAGGCTTGTGTGTATCTTGCACAACTGTGCAGGGCAGCCACAGCTGTTACCCACAGCCCTGCAGGCCACAGCCCAGAGCTGCCAAGCGCTAGCTCTTTAAAACTTGGCACAATAATGTAGTTCCAAGTTCTATCGCTATGGTTTGTGTCCTATTGAAGTAGCCCCAAGCAGAGACTGGTGCTCAGGGGCCTGAACAGGCTCCCACCCAGCCAGCCCCGGTCAAGGTGGCAGTGAGGCCCGAGGGCCATTGCCTGAGGCACAAACCAACCCCCAATTCTCCAGACAGACCTGGAAGCCACTGCCTACACCCCAAGGATTCTGCACACTTAAGTTGGCCAAACCCCAACTTGGGCGGGGCAGGCTGAGGTGCAGACCCACACTTGACACCTCAGAGGCTCAGAGCTGGCCAGAAGCTCCAGAGCCAAGTGTCCCCCTGGTGTCCTTTCCAGGGCAGAGAGTCATGGCTGGAGACAAGCCGGTTTGGTTGGTCAGACCCACCTGGGGAAGTGGCTTCCAGGGACAGCAAGGCACAGGGCTGAAGGGCTGACGCAGCCAGGCCTGGCAGTATCCCAAGGTTCGGGAGGGCCAGCTGGCGGCYGTCCCCTGACCAACCCCATGAAGAGAAAGGCTGGCCCGAGTCCAGGGAAGGCTCGGCATCCTGAACCCTCACCCKACCCGGGGAGAGTGCCCCTCTGCCGCTCAGAGTGTGCTGGCCAGTGCTGCCGGCCCCACCCACACGCCAGGGCGCCCGGCCAACTGAGCCACACCTGAGACGCTCACTAGCTCCGACGTGACCATGCGGCCYTGGGTACTGGGACAGAACACCATGGCAGGCCCCGGTCAGACTGAGCAAGGGACGTCTGTCTGTACACGCTTGGGTTGACTTGAAAAGTTCATTTTTAAGCTTTTGGGGGAAAAAACAAAACAAAACTCAGAAAGAAACTTTTTTCTCCAAAAATAAAAGTGGTGTTTCCTTGGAAATCTCCAGGCCTGGACCTTTGTGGAGGGGTGACGCCCACACCTGGAGCCACACTGGCCCCCCGGTTCTTGCGGTCACCAACTTGAGAATGCCCCTACACCCCAGGGAAAGCCTGCACCGCCGCCCCGCCCCGCCCCGCCCCCGCCGCGGCCCCTCTGCCTGCTCCTCCTGCAAATGGAACCCCTCGAACGCACAGGCCCCAGTGCCTGGCGCCTGTGCCGCGCAGCGTGCCGGGGCTTACACCGGCTCCTCACCTGTGGCAGAGCGACGCCTCACGGCACAGGCTGTCACAGGCTCCTATCAGGGGACCCCTGAGCTCAGCCCACCCAGCAGCTACTAGGAACAGCGTCACATCTGCCCAAGGCCTGCGGCGTGCCCCGCCCAAGCCCTGGCCCCTGTCAGCACACACTCCCCCCATGGAGGGAACGTGGGTGTCCATGCTCCAGAGCCAGAAGGAAACAAAACCAACAGACCGAGAGCCACCAACAGGCCAGGGTGGAGCTCCCGCACCCACGGCCAGGTCTGCGGCGTMCTCCCAGGGGCAGCGGCAGGTGAAGCAGCCCCTTCCGAGCCCCCAGGAGCCTCACAGACCCCTCTGTGCCCTCGCTCCAGAAAGAAGACGCACAGCAGCTGCTGCCCGAGGAGGCTGACTCGAGCTGCTGGCCCCGGCCTGCTCTGCGCCCCACCTCTCAGGGGCCTCTAAGTGCCAGGAAGGAGATGGGAGGGCGGGCAGGGGCGGGAGCTCGTCTGGGGCAGGGCCCGATCTGAGGCTGGACAAGGGGAGGCCATCAACAATTAGCCGCCTGATCCCCTCCGAGGCGGGAGGCCCCTGCGCACCACCGTGAGCAGCAGCGATCGATGCCCGACAACGCGCTGCCAATTAGCAAGGCCGCGCCGGCGCCCGGCCCGCGTTCTCACTGCGCGGCTGGAGCAGGAGGGTTCGCCACCACCGTAATTAACTGGCAGCATTCAGCCAGGAGTTAGTCAATGAAACTGAGCCGGATTGCAGATGACAAGAGGCAGAGCGCGGCGTGTCACCTCTGCTGTCTGACCTCGCAGATTAGCGCTGAGCCCCACGGCACACGTAATTAACAGCTGAGGCCCCAGAGCCAGCCCGGGAGCCCGTGAGGATGGGCCGGGGCTGYGGAGCTGCAGCAGCGCCTGCCGCCTCTCACGGACACCAGCTTGCCTGGCCAGGCCCCGACCGCGGCACCACACCCCGACAAAGGAACCTCGGGCCAGGCGGTGGGGTGACGGGGGCACCCCAAGAGTGCGGAGGGCAGTGCTGTCAGCCAGTGACAGCGAGCCTGAGGCGGGGGCGGGGGCCCAGAGCTGAAGCTCCACGCAGCCCTGTGAATCCAGACTGGACCCCGCTCGGCGTGGGCCGCCCCACCTAGGAGTGACAGAGAGCAGCGGGGAGCAAAGTGCACCAGGACCCCCCAACGAGGGCTCTTGGACCGTCCTGCTGGGCTGCCTCCTCCCATGGCCAGGGCAGCCCAGAGCCTGGCAGGGTCGGGATATCGGGTGGCTTGTCGGGCGTGCCTGTGGTTTACACCTCGCCCCTGTGCTGTGCGACAACGGAGGGACGCTGGGACACAGCCACCCGAGTCCCTGCCCAGCCCTTGTCCCCAGGCCCCGCAGTGCTTCCCGTCAGGTCTCTTTGGTCTCTGGGTGACCTCTGAGCAGCTCTGGCTGCCCCAGGCTGCTCCTCTAGGGTCACCACACGACATCTGGGCAGCACCAACACTCCCCAGACCTTCCTGCCCCCTGGGCCGGCGGCCTGCTGTGGGGCTCCTGCTGGGCATCCCTCCCAGGCTCTGGGAACTGCTCCCCACCTGCCCATCCTCATCAGCTGCCCAGCCCCGGAGACTCAGCGGTGCCCAGAGCACCTGGGGACCCGCAGGGCACCACCTGCCAGACGTGGCACGGGATGAGTGGGGAGGAGCAGGGCCAGACCCTGCTCCAGATGGCGGCCTGCACCTGAAGAACCCGTGGAACAGGAGGGCGGCCCCAGGAGCCACGCAGCGCTGGGGCCTGTTGGGAGGAGGGTGCGGCTCCCGAGGGCGCACAGGGGCCAGAGCAGGTGACCCTCTGGAATCCCCGGTCCCTGGCAGAGCAGGGACAGCCACACGGCAACACAAGGCTAGAGTCGACGCCTGCCATGACCCACAGGGCTTGGGAGGGCCAGCCAGGCAGCACCGGTGTCTGCCATATGCCACTACCGGACAGAGCTGCCCCCACCTGCCGTGCCAGCCAGAGCGCCGCTGACCTGGGCAGAGGGGACGAAGGCTGGAGGCCGCAGCACCCAGCTGAGTAAGGGGCTGTCAGTGCCTACGAGCCAGTCATAGAACCCACCAGCAGGGGAAGGTGTGGGCTCTGCTTTGGGACACATCAGGACGGAGGATCTGCCAGAACCGTGGCAGACACCAGCCGCTCAGACCAGGGCACCCGGGACGGTGGGGGTGCTGGCAGGGTGTAGGGGAGACGGGCCCAGCAGGTGGTGGCCCTGGGAACTCAGGGCTGAGAAGGGCCCAGGGCACTCAGATGAGGGGGCCAGCCCCCCAGCCCAGTCTTTTGCTGTTGTCTTTAAAAAGAGGTGGACTCTGGGGGAGGGGTGTGGGCGGTGGGACAGAAGCCTTGTCCTGCCACACCACTGGATGGCAGTAGCCTCAGCCTGACCTGCAGGTGCACCTGCTGCCCGTCCCTCCAGGCTCTGGGAACTGCTCCCCACCTGCCTATCCTCACCCACTCCCCAGCCCTGAGGATTTGGCCAGTGCGTCGGGGAAGGAGCCTGGCTGGTGTCTGGCCACTGCCACTGAGGGACAGCATCTTGGTTTCAGATGGCACCAGGGACCCAACAGTCACCAGACCCGCCTGCCCTCACACCTGCAAGGCTGTGACAAGACTGGGCAGGCAGCCAGCAGACACGGCTGATCACCAGCACTGGGTGTCGTCGGAAGCTGCTCTGTGGTGGCAGAAGCAGTGCCTGAGCCTGGGGCAGGTGCCAGGAGGGCGGGCCTCCGGCTCCCATGGGCAGGTGCGTAAGCCCCCCTGATTGGGTGAAGGGAGCAAGGCTCAGGACGTGGCCTAAGCCCAAGAAGCCCCTCAGGGGAGGACGGGTGAGGACCAGGCCACGGGCCTCAGGGAGACCAGCCAGAGAGGCTGGATTGTCCCCCATGTGCTTCTGGGGACCAGAGGGGCACAGAGCCCCAGGCATGCCTGCCTCCCCAGATCAGCTGAGGACACACAGGCTCCCGCGCTGCAGCCCACTGACAGCAGACAGGCACCGCACCCCTGGGAGACGAGCAGACGGCCTCACAGCTGGGCCCAGGCGGCAGCGGCCCCCTCCCACGCACAAGGCAGGGAAGGGGCCAGGGCTCGGAGGCTGGCCCTCTGCGGGACAGGGCCAGCGATTCAAAGTCAACTGGGCCCAGGAGCACCTCTGGGCACCCAACGCCRCTAAGTCAGTGGTTCCACAAGCACCAGTGAGTCCCACGACGATCTGGGGATCCCCAAGTCACAAGGCAGGCCAGGCACTCAGAGCAGCCAAAAGCCACCCCAAGACAGTACATGGGGCTGTGGCTGGGGCTCAGTGGCAAAGTGCTGGCCTCGCATGTGTGGAGCACTGGGTTCGATCCTCGGCACCACATAGAGATAAAGACAGTGTGGGTCCATACAGCTAAAGAACAGTTAACAAAAGACAATGCGTGGGACACAGGGTTGGGGCCCAAGGCCAGTCTAGACACCTAGGCAGGGACTTGAGATGCACCAAGAAGGGGAGGGACCCTGTCCTGCACAACAGAGGACCTGGGGCCTCCCCAGATGGCCTGGGCCAAGCAGCCAAGGTGGGACAGGCCCAGGACACTAGCTCCAAGGGGCCCCTGGCCTGTCACTAGGGAGGAGCCAGGGGTCCAGCCAGGGACCCAYGTGGGCACAGACCCCCTCCTCCCAGGACGAGAAGACAACAGGCAGAGCGCCCGGAGGGCAGCCAGCAGAGGCCCCAGCCCAGCACAGAGCCTGACGGAGGACATTCCTCACCCCAGGTGCCAAGGGCCCTCCAGGGAAGCCAACAGTGCGGTGGGGACCATGGCGGCAGTTAGGAGCAGTGGAATGGGAGGGGGTCTCCATGGCGGGTGGGGGCCGGCAGTCAGGGCCATGAGCCTCTTGCCGTCCCTGTTGACCGCGCTCCGTGGCCCCAGGGCCTCCGCTGAATCACCGCAACCCAGGTGCTGGGGTGGCCTCTTACCCAAAGAAACAGTAGCTCCAACAGATGAAGCCACTGCCCAGGTCAACAGCAGAGTCTTAACGGTGTGAACCAGGGTCCAGATGCCCACCACCTGCTGAGCGCAGGGAGGTCCAGTGTCAGGCCCTCCCCCGCCCCCCACCAGGCCACCTGCCAACCCAGAGGGCCGCTGCGCCCGTCCTCAGCCTCTGGGGAGGGCGGATGAGATGGCGTGTGCATCAGCTGCCCCCAGAAGACCCCATGAGGACACCTGGGCAGTGGAGGTGGGAGCCGCACAGGTGCAAGCCAGGCCCCGGGGCTGACAGAGGGCACAGGCCGGGCCTGTGGGGCAGCAGCACAGCTCTGCTGGCTCTCCACGCCTTCCTGACCCCCAGGAAGTGGCCATCCCTTCACCCCAGACCCCTCAGCATGGGGTCCAGCAGCTGAAGCTGGCCCTGGCTGCGGCTCCCGTCCCACCTGGGCAGACATGGACACACGACAGGCCACGGTGAGGGCACAGTGTTCAGAGTTTGGAATGGCCCCTCTGCCACCTGCCAAGGCTGAGGGACCCAGGGTGGCACACTGTGGCGGAGACCTCAGGCCGGGCACACAGCAGGCGGCCCTCAGTGGCCACAGTGGGGGGCAGGGAGAGCCTTTCTAGGCCACCTCCCTCCCACACCTCCAGCTTGGGGACCCACAGGCCACCTCTGGGGTTCAGCCACGGGCAAGCACAGGCCCAGTCTCCCACCACACAGCCCAGGAGCCGGCCATGTCCAGGACCAGCAGTCCCGAAGGCAAGGTCCACGGCCACTGCRGGAGCCAAGGGCAGGGAGGGGAATGTTCTGGACTACAGTGGRCATGGCTGCAGCACAAGCTTCCGCAGGGTGACGACTCTTCCCCTGTGAATCATATCCCAGAAGCCAGCCAAGGTGGGAAGGCGTGGGGAGACCCGCCCAGCTTCCAGAGCACAGCACCCCCCCACGGGAGGTGGTCAGCAGGGCCTGGTCTCGGGCCCCTCACCCCAGCTCTCCAAGTCCACCTCCACACCGAGGCAGCACAGGACTTGTACCCCTTCTTCCTAAGCCTCAGCCCCCCACCTGGACCACAGCCCGCTCAGGGACATCAGCCTACTTTACAGAGAGGGCAAGGCGAGGTCCAAGCTGGGGTGACAGAAAATCGGGGGTTGGTGTGGGGTGAGGATGCTGGGAAATGACCAAGGACTTCAGGACGAAGCCAGGTCTGGGGCTGCCCGGGTGAGACCTGGAGCTCCAACGGCTTCGGGATGGCTGTGGCCCGCAGCAAGCCCCCAGATCTCGTCATCAGAACAGGAGGACAGGCGCTGGCCTGGCCACACCACAGTGTCCTGGGTTCTCCCACTGGTCAGTATCCACAGGTGCTGGTCCCACTCCTGGGGTCAGTCACCCAGGGGAGCCAGCAGACACATCAGCAGGGTGGGGACAGACGTGCCTGTCACACAGTGGCCCTGCCAGCCCGCCAGCCTGCTCTGGTTCTCTGCTGCAAAGTCCCGGACACCAGAGCCCAGGTCAGAGTCGAGAGGGGGCAGGGACCCGCAGCCAGCGCCTGTCCTCCAGCCACCTGCACACAGAGGCACACCAAGTTCCCAGCCAGGGAGGCCGGGCAGGCTCTGACACCTGAGCCACACGCTGGCCCACCACTGGAGCCAGGCGCTAGGGACAGCTGGGGCAGCCGAGGAAACAAGGCCCTGCTCCCTTCGCCGCCGCGGGAGGAGGCCTCATGGCCTCTCCGTGCAGCACTGGCCCAGGGCTCAGGCMCAGAGCACTGTCCCCCGAAGCCTGCCCCTGGCCTGCAAGAAGTCACCGGCACACTCCAGCCCAGAGGCTTCTCACCCTTCCCTCTGCGTCTCTGCTGGGACGGCCCAGCCTGGACTCCAAGTTCAGTGTCCTGCTGTGTGTCCCCGCCCAGGCCACAGCAGACACCTGCTCACCACCCCACAAGCCTGGAGGCAGGGAGCCCCTTCCTCCAGGCACTTGCTCTTTGGCCTCCCGACAGAGGGACTGCTTGGGAGCCCCACCTCCACGCTGGTGAGCAGGGGGCGGGAAGGGAGAGTCGCCACACGCACCCACCACCTCTCCCCACGCTGCTCCTGATGACCGGCAACAGAAGGGACCTGGAGAGAAGACAGCCAGAATCCAGAGACCTGGCCCCTTGGTCAGGGCCAACACCTGCTCCACAGAGCCGGAGGCCCAAGGGACGCAGCCCGGCAGAGCCACCCAGGTTTCCTGTGTCCTCAGCCCCTGCCTCGGAGAAGCCTGGGGTTCTGGGGGCCAGCCAGCACCCACAGGGCCGTCTCCAGCCATCCTGGCCACGACGGTTCCTGCTCGTCAGCAGCCCTCGGCGTCTGAGGTGCCCCAGGCCAGAGCTGGAAGGGCCTAGAGCGCCTCCCTGCACTGACTCAGAAGGAACAATTCTTGTCCTGGGTCACATGGTCTGAGCCCAGGTGTCACCAGAAGGCAGGCCTCTGCACCCTGGGACTCGGGTGACGGGGCAGGATGGGGACACTGCTCTGTGTCCAGAAACCCCCTGCTCCCCTCCACGGGGGATGGGCAGGCCCGAGCCGGGGCGCCAGCCGACTGGGCAAGGGCCACCCTGAGCGCTCGGCGGGGCTTCAGCGACACACACGTAGGGCGCCACAGCCCCTAAATCCACTGTGGTCCCGCAGCCAGCAGGCCCCCTCCCACCCCACCCGGCAGCCCTGGCCGAGGAAGGAGAGGCGGAGGGGAGCAGAGCCAAGCAGAGCAGCAGGGAGGGGCTGGGGCGGGCAGCGCCACTGTCTGCCTCCTGGTCTCGCCCTCGCGCAGCTGGCGCCTCTTACCTCTGGGCTCCTCCGCCTGTTTGGCGAGCTTGCGCAGCGCAGCGGCAAAGCTGGAGGACGGCGCGGCCTGGGCCGACAGCGCGCTGCTGGTGGCCGGGCTGCCGCTGGGCACCAGGGCGCCATTGAGTGGCGAGGGGGTGAGGGGGTTGACGGTGGCGGTGGTCCTGGTCGCGGTGGAAAGCATCCCTAACGAAGGGGACTTGGGCTCATGGCTCATGCCTGAAACAGGAAAAGAAGAACCAGGGTCACGGAGAGCAGAGCCAGCACCAGGCGGCGGCAGCATGCAGAGAGCCAGGCGGACAGAGCGCAGGCTGCGGACAGGGGGCAGAGCGCGCCCAGCCAGGCACGGAGACGGCCGAGCCAGCACAGCCGCCCTGGGCACCGGGGCCGGGCGACCCAGAGTCCCAGAGCAAAAGGTGTTGGAAGGAGGCAGGGTCCCGGCCCAAGCAAGGTCAGCAAGGAGTCTGCCCCGTGCAGGGGAGGCTCCCGGCCAGGAGCAGTGGCTGCGCTCTGGGGAGGGAGGTCGGCACTGCGACTGTCCCAGAGTCACAGAGGAAGAAACCGAGGTTCCCGTGTGGCCTTGTCCACATGGACGGTCAGTGCAGACCCAGGGCCCTCGCTCCACGCTCTCCCGAGTTCCAAGTCACGGGGCCCAGCGGGTGGAGGGGAAGGCGGAGAGGACACGAAGCCATCCTGCAGCCCCCCTGAGCCCCTCATGGCACGAGGACTCTGCCGCTCGGCCAAGTTCGGCACAGCAGCTGACCCCCCGCCACTGGCAGGGCCGAGCCCAGGTCACAACCCCACCTCTCCAGTCCCCCAAGTATCAGTGAGGAGGCCCTGCCCGCCACAGCCCTGTCTTTACCCAGGTCCCCGTCAACAACCAGGTCCCGCTCCCTCGCTGTGCGCACCTCCCAGGGAAGTCAGCCAGTGGCCTGGCGCCTGGCAGGGACAGCAGGGCCACAGGCAGCAAGAAGCGATGTGTTTCCCGAACCCACTGGAGCCTGAGAGCGGGAAGGGACCCGGCAACCCACACCCCTGCTGGAGCCTGGAGCCAGCAGCCTGGCCAAGCCCGGGCACAGCTCTCCAGGGGGGATGTGCCTGGCACGGCCGAGAGGTCCCAGGAGGCCCCAGGGCAGGGCCCAGGGCCTGGAGGTGCACCCTGAGTTTGAGATCTGGAGGGTCAGGTGGAGCTGGCCGCTGCCCCCTCCTGATGGTGGAGGAGGACCTCCCGGGCACTTGGAGGCACGTGGGCGACAACACGGCAGGGCTGCGGCTGAGGCAGGAGGCCAGGAAGCGCGGCCCCTCCAGCGAGGGCTCAAGCCTCGGGAGCAGAGGCTGCACCAGGGCCCCGTGACGAGCCAGCCGGCCTCCCAGGGCCAGGCAGCGCCCACAGCAGGAGGCCCACAGACCAGGGTGCTGCCCCCACTGGGTCCCCACTTGCTCGGCTCCCAGGAGGAGTCACAGGGTCCCCCCCCGCAGCATGACCTCCACAACTGCCCAGTTTCAGCAGCAGCCTGGTCCCACGGCCACCCACCTTCAAGCCTGACAGACACAGAGCCCAAACGTGGGCCTGGTCTCTGCCCGCCCTGTGAGCACCCACCTCACCCAGCTGCACCCTGCCCTTGCTCAGCCAGTGCCCAGGGGACCAGCCGGGGAGGACAGCCTGGATTCAGATGTGTGAGCCCAGACAGGTCTCCTCCCGTCACACAGGGGCGACCATCAAGTCCCCCCCGTGAGCTTCACCCCGTGAGCACCGACAGGGGCCACCGAGTGAGGGCTGCAGAGCCGCTGCCTGACCCAGGGCCTGTCGGCACAGACTCCAGCCAGGACGAGTCAGGACCCGCGCTGCGGCTCTGTGCTGCCCCCAACCTGGGCCACTGAGCTGCGTGGAGAAGTGTCAGGGCTGTGTTGTCACCCGGACTCCTGCCCGTGGTGACCCGCCCCGCCCCACACAGGCCTGGCTTTGGCCCTGGAGGTTAGGTCCCTGGAGCACCCACACCCTGGGAGGCCACCAGGGCTGCTGTGGTGACAGGCCTGGCCGTGCAGGGGCAGCAGGCACACAGCAGGGGAGGAGCCTGTGCGCAGAAGCACCGCCCACCAGGGACAGCCCAGCAGGCCGCAGGCTACCTTCCAGACAGCCTGGTCAGCTGGTGACCGCAGGGTCTCARGAAGCTGGGGCAGGAGGATCACAAGTTCCAGGCCACCTGGGCAACTTAGTGAGACCCTGTCCTAGAACCTGAAAAGGGCTGGGGGGCAGCTCAGCAACAGGGGACCTGGGCTCCACCCCAGAGCAGCAAAGAGGAGGCGGAGATGGACTCCCCTCTCCGAGTAAGGGCCAGACCTGCGCCTGCCTTCTGAGCCGTGGCGTGGCGAAGGGCCCTGGCCTCAGCCACTTGAGCAAAGGTGGTCACTATCCCCTTGAGAGGGGGCTTCTGGCCAGCAGCTGCAAGGGAGCCCCCACCCCAGCAGCAGGCCCTCTGGCCCCCACCAGCCCGCAGGACGCCGCAGGCTCTGCCGCTGATCAGGCCCGAGCTGCGCCTCCCAGCCAAGGTGGAGGCTCTGCAGGGAGGCCGCAAGATGTGCCGACCCAGCCTCCACTGTGCTCCCCACCAGAGATTCCAGAGTGGCCTTCTGCAGACACCGTGCCTCGMGGAAAAGGCTGTTCTCACTGCAATCAGACCACCAGCCAGCGATGCCCACGCTACGAGAGGCAGGCCGCTGTCTACTTGGGCAGGTGCCACAGTGGACTGGGATCTGGGACCCCAAATGGCACTGGGGTCCCACAGACTGCACCTGAAGCCCTGTGTGTCCCAGTGACTGCTTGTCCTTTCCACCTGGGTTCCACTTTCTCTGCCCTGATCCAGGTTTTGGAAAAAACGAGAGCCTTCCAAGAGATGGTGACCTGGTAGCCTGTGTCCCCCGTCCTCGGAACAGTCCCCTGCCCCCCCATCAGGCCCAGCACCAGTTCCCCAAGGGGGCCGCCAGCAGCCTCGACCAGGGGTGCCACCCTCCTCACCCTGGTCCCTGGGGTCCCCCGAAGCCAGCAGACGGTGCCAGTTGCTCCCCAGCCTGGGAGCTCTCTGCTGATGTCAGGCCACTTAAAATAGCACTCCAGGAGCAGCTTCATTAGGGACCTAAAATTAGCAGCTCTGCTGCATGTGCGCCTGGGGAGGGGCAGCCCCAAGTGGCCGCGCTCGGGGACCCGGGGAGCCGCTGCAGAATGCCCTCACGCCTGCCCCCGGTCCAGAGGCCTCAGCTGGCGGCTGCTGTGTGCCCTCCCCTCCATAGATGGGACAGGGACCGCTGGCACCCAGGTCTGCAGAGGCCAGGGCAGGCCACAGCGTCTGTGGAGCCCCAGGGGCAGCAGCAGGGAGCCCCCAGGGGCACAGGTGCCTACTCCCCCTCATTAGGGAGGTATTTATTAACTTCTGCGCTCCTGGCCACCGGCTGGATTCTCATCGACATTATCAGCTCATCTGAATTCATTATCCTAACAGCTGGGAATAGGCTCCGCAGCATGAGGCCTGTGATGGATGAGGGCTGGGGGCTGTGCACCGCACACGCTCTCCTGACATGTGCTGCTCGGCAGGAAAACGAGCCAGAGGTCTAGGTGGCCCAGATCCGCCAGGAGACTGCCTGCCTCTCATTTTTTACATCATTGTACCAAGTCTGGACAGGCTCCTTCTCGCCAGCTCAGCTCCCCAGGAAAGAAGGGCTGCCTTATCCAGATACCCCAAGGTTCCTCAGCCCTGGTCACACTCCAACCCAGGGGTCAGGAAAAGTCCAGTCCTGAGGCCATGGAGCTGAAGACCTCTGGGCTACCACCAGAAGCCAGAGGGCAGGAAGAGAGGAATGAACACCCGCTGACCACGCTCACAAGGTGGCTGGGGCCTGTTTTGTGGGCAGCCAAGTCTGACAGGGGCCCCGCGGTGAGCCTCCTTCGCCCCAGCCTCCCTCGTGCTCGCCCAGGTTTCTGCGAGGCCAGCAGCAGCACTGTGCTCTGAAAGAAAGCGAGGAGGCAGCGCCCAGGGCAGCAGGAGCCCAGCTGCCTGGCAGGGGACAGCGGCACACACCCGCTGGGTCCTGGCCTGCAGGGCGGAGCCCCGGCTGGCCTGACAGCAGGACTGCAAGAGGGGAGGCCTCCGCGGCCCCATTAGGTATGGTCCCTGACCCCCTCCTCCCACAAGGGGGATTATTAATCAGCACACCGGCCTCCCTCCCAGCCTCCCTCCCGGCCTCCCGTGGATCCCGTAATTACTGCTTCCTTTCATGCCTGCTCTGCCCGGCCCCAGACCCCAGGCCCGCTCCCTCCGTGCTCTGTAATTACAAGCTAATAGCTGAGATGAATTTTCTGCTGGGTCCCAGTTCAAGCACCAACCCGCCCCCTCCCCGGCAGCCCCCCTAATTACACCCTGCGAGGCTGCGCGGCGGGGCTCCGCTCTCGGCCGCCCGCACAATCTGGACCTGGATTCTCTAATCACCCCTCTTGGTAATTCTCCATCACCACAGACAGAAATGTTTGTGAACAAATAAAGGGCGTCCCCCAGCGATCCCTGCCCCCCAAGGGGACATGTTCCTGCAGCCCTAACAAGGCCAGGGGTCACCAGCTGTGGGGACTGGGGGCGCAGCGGCACAGGGTGCCATGTGGTCCCCAGAGCAGCTCTGTCATCAACTCATGACTCCTTCCCACACTCGGAGYGGCAGTAGCTCTGGGTGGGACCAGGGAGGGGGCCTCGGCTCGTGCCAGGGAGGCCCCGACCAAGAATACCACCCCAGGATCGAGGACCCACCCTGGACCCGCTCCAAGGTCAGTGCCCGAGGCGGCGGCTGGCAGAGCCAGGGCAGCACCAGCCCAGAGGAGGCGCGGCCCGAGCAGATGGCCGAGCTCCTGACCCAGAACCAGAAGGGCTGGGAACAGCAGGCAGGAGGGGGCAGCTRGGCACCCCTGCATGAAGCTGGCCACGAGGCCGCGGGCCTTCCAGGCGGACAGCYGAGCCGTGCGCAAGGCGGGAGCAGCTGCCCACCAGAAACCCAGTCAAGGGGAACAGGACGGGGCTCCCAGGCAGCTGCCGCGGCCCCATTCACCCCCTCACCTCCACAGGACTGTGCCGACAGGGGGACGCAACACCCAGGGTTTGTCCCCAACACGTCACTGCCAGTCGCCAGGCTAGCCAGGGCCCCTGCTGGGAGCAGAGTGTGCGGGAGAGGTCACCTGCATG